AATTACGCTGGTCTTAAAAGTCTGGGCTATATACGTATTTATTTGTTTTTTAAAAAGTGTTTTAGCTGTATATCTTAGAGGAAGTTTCTAGCTCTCCTCCCTTCTTCCGATCCCTAAACAAGAGAGTCAATAGTATTTTTTTTCTTTTCCACTATTAGGATTGCTGACACGTATAGCACCGTTATGTTCAGCTGAGAGGATGGTGAATCACATTAGATGCTTTTCCAAAATAAAAAAAAAAAGTTGTTACAAAGAAAATGGAGAGGTCAGTGTTCAATATGTAAAATACTTCCGTATTGTTATTTTTAGTGTCATTCGAGTCTGCTGACTTAAAAAAAAAAAAAAAAGAAAAAGAAACCTTGTGAAACTAATTCGATTATCCAAGGCTCCACACTTGCTTATCTTCAGACTTTTTGATAAGGAAAATAAGGAGTGCCCCAGGTAGTAGTTTAACGTTCTTGGTCAAAGTACAGGTGTGCTGTTAGAGAAATTGCTTTCAGTGTTTGGGATCAGAATAAAGGAAGCCTTTGATGTTGGCTCCGCTGGGGTTATTGGGTTTCTTGCTCTGAGACAGTATTCTGTACAACATCTAAAATATGAGAAAAGAAGCACAGAGAGTAGACATTAGGACAGGCTACATTCAGAAATTTATATTCTGTAATAAATCCTTGGCAGTGTCTTTAAAACATAATGTGAAATTAATACTCTGAAAGCGGTTGTATTGAGAATGCTAAAAAGTGGAATTTTTTTCCCAAAGCATACTTACAGCTCAGGTGGTGGCTTAAAACAAAACAAAAAAACCCCAAACCTGCTGGAATAAAATAACTTGCTGTAGGAGAAACATTTTTGGAGGAGAGAAAAAAAAATTAGTTTTCTTCTTTTTTCCGTCATAGTTCAAATACATAATATTTTACAGGCAAATCAAGAGTCTTTGAGTGTATTACATTTTAAATTAACATTGTCTGACTGTTCAGCTTTTATCAAAATCACAGCCAAGATGCCAGTTCTGATAACATGATTTAAAAAAGAAAAAGCAACGCTTGCATGCTTCTTTATATTGAATATGTGGGTCAAAGAGTGAGGGTAAGGGCCACTGATGTATTTCACTTCATATGGCAGCACAGCCCTGTTTTGCCAACCCGTTCTAGGCTTGTGTTCGGTATCCTAAGTATTGTCCTCAAAATCTCCAGGACTGCTTCTTCCGTGGAAAGTGTTTTAGTAAGTCTTGGCATGATCTGTATTGTTACTGGAATGGCTCGGGGAGTTAATCATTCTGCTCCTATTACAATTGTTGAAGCAGATTGTTTTTCCAGTTCCTGTCAGCAGGAGTTTTCTGGCCTTTTTTTTTTTTTCTTTTAAAGTCGCACCCACCAACCTATAAAGTTTATGGGCTGAAATGTAAACTCGGTTGTATTTTAAAGTAGAGTTTCGGTGCGCCTTAAGGTGGGTTCCACCCCAGTTGCCATTATCAGCCTACTCCATGGTCGCTGTCCTGGGAGAAGACGACAGTGGGTATATGCCGTGATACACACCCAGCATATGGTGCCTTGTGGGAACGTCTTTGGTGCAGGCTCAAGTCATGCATTCAGTTCTGTATTTCAGAGATACTGCCCCATCAGTAACTGGGAAATCGATGTCCATAGTTAGTTATGGGCAAACATGGCTGCTGGAGTGTCATAATTCTCAAGTTCTTTGATTCTTAATTTGTAGGTACTGTCCTCATCTTCACTGCAGTGATTCCTGTTAGTTATTAAGTAGTTTGTGGCTTTCGCCACAGTGTGCGTGGGCAGGGGCATTTCACAGTCACCATACAACTTGCGGGATAAGTAACAAAAATTGGCAGCCTTAGCCAGAATTTCTCTGAAGCTGGGGTTAATGGGAGTGTACTCAGCTCGGGCAGCTCCACCATTGCCTATTTATTTATTTATTTTCTCCCCCTCCTCCTTCCTTTACTTAATAAAGCTAAAAATACTTGAAATGTGAAGCATTTACTGTGGACAGGCACTGAAAAGCTGCTTATGCAGGAAAAGCTCAGTCCTTTAAAATGTTTTGCCTTTCTCTGGGGTTTGCTTTCATGTATGTTACTTGAAAACAGTGCTTCTGCAATGTTGGGTTTCGTATATGTTTTATTGCTGATACTTAGGCTTTCTCGTTTTAGTACTTGATATAGTTGTTACTGAATATTGTCATTAGGTTTGCTTTTTAAACCGCGATACGACAATTAAAACATTTTACAGTAACGCATTGTGCTATTACTGCTTATTCGTTTGAAAACAATATGAATCACACCTATTTAATGTCAGTCTTATTTTGAAAAGTATCAGTTAAGATTAGGCATATCGTTATAGCATGCTCCCAATATGTAATTTGAGTAATTTTTTGACAGATGTGAAATACTTCTAGTTTTCACATGGATGTTTGAAGTATACACGTAGTAATAGAAAATGTTGCCAGATGATTTTGTTTCCCCTTAACAGAACTTTATTTCTGATTATAGGCTTTTAAGATGTGCCTTGCGGGACCTTTGTTTTTTGTACCCTGACCGGCATTTAGGATTTTGTGTGCATACTGACAGATGTTAGACAAATAACAGCAGAATTACTAGATATTTTAAAAAGCCTGGTTAGGGATCACTATTTAAAAACACAACAGAAACCCCTTTTCTCGCAGTTATCAGACTAATATCTGAGAATGGCAAGTTTATTTGCTATGTGAATATGGAGAAGTAATGCGGAATCTTGACTCTCAGGTTCCAGTAACGGCAGGGAAGTGTGGGATTTTCTAAATAGAAATCATTGGCTTATTTTGTTTCGATTGTACTAAAAGGGAAAATCAAGTGAGATAGTTGTCTCAGAATACTCTGTGTTGAGGCCTTTGTGTTGTATGCTGTAGTAATTGCTTGGATACCCATGCTCATTTCTCACAGGTGGTAAAACATGTGATGGGCGCATAAATCTGCGTACCATGGAAGTCTATGGACCAGGGTGGTAATTACATACTAGTGGTGTTGGTTATATGTTTTGTGTATGGGAATGAGCTGCGAATGTCCTGGAGAGCAGCTGGGTGTATTTCAATATTCGCAATTAGCAAGAGGATATAAGTGGGTGTGACTGCTCTGCACATCATTGGGTCAACAGAGTGCCGGAAACCACTTTTATTTCTCTTGGTCTCTTGCAAATTAAAAAGAAAAGAAGGAAGATGACTTGTTTTTACTGAGTTTGGGTAAATAAAAAGCATAGAGTGCAATAGTATTTATCAGCTATGCTCTTCCAGTAAAGTTTCAGCATGCTTAGCATTAACCTCTGAGCCCTGTAGACTTCAGTAGAGACTGCACATATGCTTTAAGTGAAGCTTATGCTTAGTTTTCATTTGTCTGTATATCACGAAGTCCAGATCTTACTCCTTTGAAAATCAATTTGGGATTGTTCCTATTAATTTCAATAAGACTTATAGCAGGTTCCTAAAATCTTAGGAAGCGCAGTTAGAAGCATTAAGTGAGAAAAGAAAAGAACGAAATTAAATTTAATCTGCCAAGTAATTCAGGCTTCCGAGGGTAGCTGTCAGCTTTTCGTACGTACCCCTTGTTGGTGTTCTTTATTTAAAAATATTCCCCCCTCTGCTGCTCCGCCCCGAGTCCCACATCCCAAATCATGGGAAATTGCATCCTGCTCATACTGAAGGCGGTGACAAAAGGTGTTGGCTCTGATTCTGGTGGAATCAGGAGATTTGTTTTGCATATTCAGCATCTAAATATGCTGAATATCAAAATACTGAAGGCTAGTAAGCGCTCTTTTTCTCTTGCATCCATTTTACTGATCCGTGTACCTGCATTGTACTTTAAAGTTTATTTCTACTTGACTGCTTTTAGAGTTTTGCTCTACCTTGAATCTAAACGTCACTTGAGGTCACGGTGCAGAAGACAATGAGACTACCAAAACAAAGTCTGAAATTTAAAAATTCATGATGTGTCACGAACCTTAAAATATGTTTTTAAAGTATGGCGTTTCTAGGAATTTTAATAGTGCATATTGGCAAATCTAATTCATAACAGCTTCTGTGCTCATGGTACGAGTAGGATATTTTTTGTTTGTTTTGACAACTCGTTCTTTACTTGAATTAATATTAGCATTTATTTTAAAAAAAATGTAAATTTTTTTGAGGGCTTATGGTAAATAAGTGACAGCTCTGACCAAATTTATAGCCTAAGTAAGAATATAAAAAAATGTATTTTTTTGAGGGCTTATGGTAAATAAGTGACAGCTCTGACCAAATTTATAGCCTAAGTATAAATATAAAATAAAGGTAAATGCCACAGGGGATTAGTCTCATGTTACATGTGCAAGACTGTAAATTAGCTGAATGTCCAACCTGTTATTTTTGGGTCTTATTTTCGTAAATATTGATTAGATTTTTCAGTAGTTCGCATTTTGTTAAAAACTTAAATCACTTTGATGTTTTACAGTGCATAAGGGAAGATTTGTAGGACAAATTCTTTTCGTTCTTTACTTGAATTAATATTAGCATTTATTTTAAAAAAAATGTAAATTTTTTTGAGGGCTTATGGTAAATAAGTGACAGCTCTGACCAAATTTATAGCCTAAGTAAGAATATAAAATAAAGGTAAATGCCACAGGGGATTAGTCTCATGTTACATGTGCAAGACTGTAAATTAGCTGAATGTCCAACCTGTTATTTTTGGGTCTTATTTTCGTAAATATTGATTAGATTTTTCAGTAGTTCGCATTTTGTTAAAAACTTAAATCACTTTGATGTTTTACAGTGCATAAGGGAAGATTTGTAGGACAAATTCTTTTAAAAGGACATTGTCAAGGGACTTTTCCTACTTATTTAATCTTTGCACTTGTAAAAATCCCCAGAAATGTGAAAATGAGAACTCCTTTGCCAGGCTGCTGTCCTCCATTTCATGTGCATATTGGTTTGTCGTTATAGGGTTACTGATAAGTGTTGTGCTTTTTGGCATTGATGTATTTTTCAGAAAAAAGAATTGAAGCATTTGTTTTGAAAAAAGAAAAACACATTTAAAGAATTACATGGACTTTGCAAACAGATTTAAGAAAATGAAAGGTAGGTCAAATTTTGGGCCTACAAACCTGACAATGTCCTTTACTTTTGACATGTATGCCTTATTTGAGACATTCCTGATCCTAATGATGTTATATTAATCAGTGGCAGAAAAATGTGAAAATGACATTGTTAATCATCGTTAATCTTAATAGCTTACCTTGTTCATTTTGGTATGTTTTCTAATGTCAGCAAACAGTGACAGCCTACTTTGAGATCTCTATTATTTGTGCAATGGGATCACCTCAGTTACTGTCAGTTTGTAACATAAAAGGTTGTTTTACAAAAGGTTTAAAATAAATTACAACAGCCTAGAGCTTTCTTATCCTCCAGTTGTGAGTATGTCAAATGGTATGGGCTTCAACTCTCCCCCTTGGAGCGTGATACACAAAGGTGCACCTTTGTTTCAGGAGTGACAGGAGGTAGGATTTGGGAGGGGGGAGGAAACTAGCCCACTTAGGTAGTTCTTTTTTTCCTTTCAAGTTTAAAAAAATACATCTTGTGCTAAGGTTGGTCTGATTAATTTGTAAGTCCCCATGCTGCCAGAGGTATGGAGGTAATAATTCATGAGCCATCCTTTCCAGTTTTGGTTACGAAGCTGGGTATAAGTTCATTAATCCTCTGGTTTGTGAGAGCCACAATCACTTGAAATGCTTGTGCATGGGGCTGGCCTCCTGTCAGATTCTGCAGCTGAAAACTGCTTTTTCAATTTCCAAGATTTTTTCCATAAAAGCTGGACTAGAATAAGGTTTCGATACTTTTTTTTTTTTTCCAAGAGCAGCTAGTCCAAATGGCAGCTCTGAAAAGGCACTCTTCTGTTAGCCGCATGGCGAATAGCTGCTCCATATGGACAACTGCTCTGTCTGTGTGTGCACATTCTACCTGGTACTATTTTAGAAAAATTCCAGCAGTCACTGGCATGGTAGCTGTTACTGGGGCAAGAGCTTCACCACCAGATTATTTCCATATTGGAGGAAAAAAAAACCCCAAACTAATAGCTGGATTAGAGCTGTCATGGGAAACTTTTTTCTTTTCCTTAAATACATTTAGATAACCTTAAGGGCCTGACTTACACCCAACAAAACCAGCAAGTTCAGAGTTAAGGCTTCTCACTCCATCTCCAGTACTCGCTGGAGCGCTTGGCTCTCCAGCACGGGTGGTATCGGAGATCACACACTATCCTCAGGTCCCTGCTCACCTAGGCAAAACGTTTGCCGCATGAGTGGTGCCCCGACTGTTCCAGGTACGTCTGTTTACAATACACCTGCTGTCCTGCGCAAGGTGCCGTGTGTGTCTTAACAGTCCGCTGGTTTCCCTGGTATGTTAATGGCCGGTGGCAGCACAGCAGGTGTGGTGGAAAGCCAGCAGCGGAAGGGGGAAGGGTACAGATGCAGTGAGAAGCTTTAACTTTGAGTTTCCTGGCTTCTGTGAGCACAAGTCAGACCCTTAATGTTGTTTTAATGTATTGTTTGTGTTTAATTTTTAGTAAAAATTTGAACACCATCCAGGCTACAGAGGTTGCAGTGGATAAGAAGTTTAAAAGCTTTGGTTCAAGATTACAGGAGGCTGCAAGAAAAATTAAAGACATGGAAATGAGGATGGAATGACAGGCTGCTATTTTGCCTCAGAATACTGAAGATTGTAAAGCATTGAGAAATCGAATTCATGACCCTGGAAATCAAGCTCAGATTAAGAAATGTCAGGTTGGTAGGGGTTCCTGAAAGTCTCAAGTTAGGATAAACTGAGATTGTTTTCCCATAACAAAGGTTCTAGGATGTGGGGGTGGATGGTATAATTTTTGTTATCTGTGTTATGTGAAATGCTATACCATATTCTTAAATAAGCCAGCTAAGTGAAATTATATTTTTTAAATTAGTTTCACATTTGTGGTGTTGAATGTCGCTTTTGACCGGTTTACAGTTATTCCTCTCTGGCACCGAGTTGCATGATTTACTGTTAATGCAGGCATGGAAAATACTGCTCTTAAATACACATTGCTTTATCCTGCCACTCCAAGGGTCTGCTGCAAAGGCAAACACATGGTGCAGTATGACATTTCTAGATAAGAAACAGGCAGAACGTATCTAAATGGTGGAAGAAGTAGTTTTTTGTTCAAAGCATTCTGATTCATAGTGAAACTGTGTCTTTCCAAATGTAAACTTTAAATAGTGACTGCCACTGTGATTAAGTTACTGTAAGTTTACTTAAGTGTTGAGTTATTGTCTGCGATTCAGTGATACGGTATTTAGGCAGAAAGATTGTGCAACGGGAAGTCTATGCTGAAGTTCAGAAAGGATTTTGGCAAGCAAAGGTTTGTAGGGTTTTCGTGGTCAAGGTCACTGGATGCATTTGAGTTCTGGGGACTCTTAACAAAGTCTGAGATTCTCTCAGGGAGGTTTTATCCTTCTAGTTGTTTTTCTGACTTTCGTTTCTATGCTTTGGAGCTTGTTCTGGCACGCCACTTAGACAGACACAAGTAACTTGGTTGAAATTGATAGATATACTGGCATGAGGGGAAAACCAGACCACGCCTTTATGTATTTTAAAGAAGTCATTATTTTAAAGGGTTGTGTTTTGTGGTACTGTATTTCACGATTTTTTGAGATAGCTCTAGTCAGAAAAGTGATACTTAAAAGTGACAGCTTTTAATCTCATCTTTTGTTATCTGTTTGGACTGTATGCGCTCTTCTGTTGACAGAGGTGCTTTAGTTGTAGCTCTAAGGGAATCATCTGTGCCATATTTTTCCTCATTCATCTTCAACAACTTTAGTATCAAAGTTCTGTTTTCATTTTTTAATTTTATTTTAGCTAGGATTCAAACTTGTCATTGAAATCCTGGCTTTGCTGGACTGACAATTAAGACAATGACCATAACATTTCAGTTGTAAAATGAGCACAGTTGTTATATTCAATAGGAATAGGACTTGCAATGTCATTTTTACATTTGTTTCAAAACATAACTGCATTTTATTAATGCTATTACATATACTGTTTTGAAAGAAACATGAACAAGTCTATAACATGCTTTATTTTAGGGTGTTTCTCAGTATATTTAATGTGGAGTTTTATAATTAAGTTCCCATTAAAGGATAGTAATTATCGTCTGGATAACTATGGAGCATTTACGTTGTAGTGTTTGTGTCCTGTACCGCATCATTAGTGTGTGGTTCATTTGCTAAAAATGACTGTATGAAGGTTATGTGGCCATTTCTGGTTCAAACAAGTAACAATAGTAAGTTATCAAGATGCACAATTTTTAAAAAAGGTATTAAAAAGGTTTCCATTTAATTTTGGTGGCTGGATATGAAACACTAGTTTACTGAAAGAATCTGTGCATTATTTCTAAGCATGTCTATTGCAGTAGAGGTTAGGAATTGATGGATTTACAACATAGAATAGTTTTGATGGGTGTTGTACTTTGCTGGTGAGTAGTTTTCACATCTGAATTCCTGTCTGCTGCGGTGACAGTACTGCAGTTCATTGGCATAATCAGTTGTTGGGAGATGCTGGGACTAGAACAGAAAAGAACCATATGTACCTTAGTGACCAAATGCAGAAGGATTGGTGAGGATCTGTTGTCTTCCTGCCTTGATTCTGAAAGATCTTTTTGCTGTTTGCTGCTGAATAAGCAATTTAAAGCGTTGTGCAGTAACATTTAAATTAAAGCCAGCTGCAATTTCTAGGAGTTTTGCAGGTAGGGTGCTAGTTGAAACTGTGTGCATATAGGAGAAGTTCCAGTGACCCTTGTTCAGTCATCTTCAAGTATAAAACCTGTTTGAATAGGTAAAGAACTTGAATGGCAGATTGTAGTAGGGCTGGTCTGGCATCCTGACTTGGTTACAGGTGGACATGAAATTTACGGGTGCAGGCTGGACAGTTGAGACTGAGGGTAACAGTCTCCTCAGCTGTACTCCTTCAGCCCCAGACCTGAGCTTGGTCCCAGTGGGGAAGTAATACACTGCTTCTGTTGACTTGTGAAAATTCTTTTTCCCAGCAGTTGTTTTTCTTCACCAGGTATCTTGTACAGCTGGGATTCTACTAATTTTCCATCCGTTTGAAATGCAGATAACAGTCTTTCAGGGCTTGCTTTTTGACACAGGCTGGGACATAAGATGCAGGGATTTCTTGTAGAAGGTAGCTGGGGAACCACAGTCTTTTGCATTAATGTTGGACTAACTTGTATTATCAAGCAATAAGCAATGTTTTTAAATTCACACTGCAACAAAAATATGTTGAAATTTGCATAGAAGAAATATCTAGCCTGCTTCACTTTGCAGTGTTTAAAACTACTTATATTAAAAGAGGGAAAAAATCATGTACTTAATTCTTGTTTTTGCTTTTCCTTAGCTCTTCAGGAAGTCCCTTTTTTCCCACCCACGCTTAACTACTTTTGTGTAAATGTAATGGTTTAATATTATTCCCTTGAGTACTTTTGTATATTTATAGCATCTATACTGTTAAAAAGATGCTCTCTAAATATCTTACGAGGATTACTTTTCATTTTAAGACTCCATAAAGAGGATATAAATGAAGTTTGCACGTTCAACTGATTTTCCTTCCCTCAGATATTTAACATGTATTTCTTTGTCATTCTACGATGTTCCAAGCATGATGTTGATTTAGGGAGGGACATTTTGTTCATATTTTGTAAGAGTTTTCAATGGTGGATTAAGTATGATGTGTTTGTTTGACTAAGCTATACAGAATTGTTTTGTAAAACTTTTAAGTCTAAGCAGACCTGCAGAGATCAGCAATTAGCCTGTACACTTGGACGTTGGATTCAGTAAATTCGGTATTTCGCTGTTGTAGGGGGTTTTTTAGTTAAATTTTAGTCTCAGCAGATCATCATCATATATGTAAATTGAATACTCAAATCCTCACTGAGTTGCTTATGATATTCAATAAGCTACACTCTTACAAGCCTGGACAAGATATTTCTCACTCTGTGTAGAGCTCACAAAGGTGTGGAATCCAATCAAAACAAACGTTGGATAGATTGCACAGACACTTCTTAATAATGCAGTAAGGATGTTGCTTTAAAAAACAAATACACTATTCCCTTAGTGGTTTTATCCATCTTCCATTGTTCAGCCTCCTGAGCCTCCATGGCATGTTTTTTCTTAGGTCTTCTGTGTTTGGTTGATTGCTGACTGTAAACTTGTTCCTGTTTTACTAGCTTCAGTCTTTGAAATCTTTTTCTGCCATCAGAATAAACAGACTAGCTATAACCTATTTTGTTTACTACATTTGCATGGCTTGAATAACAAGTCGTCTTTGTTTCTTCATAGGCATTCGACCTCCGATCATGAATGGGCCCATGCACCCGCGCCCTTTGGTAGCGTTGCTGGATGGCAGGGATTGTACAGTAGAAATGCCTATTCTGAAGGATGTAGCCACAGTGGCATTTTGTGATGCTCAGTCTACACAAGAAATTCACGAAAAGGTAATATTTAGAGGTATAATTAAAGTGTTTTAAAAAATGCAAGTATTTTCATGATTAGGAACAGATGCAGTGTTGTGTTAGCTATGACAACGTGTTTAGCTATTGCATTTTAGTTAATGGTTGATTACCTTAGTGAGTGAGTTACTGGTCGTTTCCAATAAGTGATGAAACATGATGATGAAACGAAGATGAAAATGTCTGTGTTGAAGTATCTTTCGTGCAGTGTATCTTCGGCTGGATGTTGTCCACGTGCTTACCTACTGAATTAGATTCGTGGAGAGAGTTACCTATGGGAAAACTATATTATTACGTGATGTTTTGAAATGCTTCTTGGAAACGCTGTTGCTCAGCCTTCAGCTGGAAAGCCAAATCTCAGTATTGGGTCGGCCGTGTGAGGAACTTTCAAACTTCTCTGTTTAGCCAAGGAATTGTGCAAATCGGGTTAGGAGGCCTTGTGCACTGAGAATTGACACTGCAGAAGAGTTTCAAAACAAATGCTAACCCAAAGTTTATTTAGAAAATGAATTTTAGAAAGTATTCTAACTGTATGTTACTCCAGAAGTTTGCACCCTTCCTGGTGGTTTGGGAGCTGTAAAAGTGGTTCTTAATGTTGTCAAAGGTTTTCTCATTTTCTTAGAGGGATACCCATTTTTTGTGATGATAGCCAAGGGAGCCAGCTGGCCCGTATACCTACATTTTCTCTTCAGAGACTTTTTTCAGCATGAAGGCCTCAGGTCTACCCCAAATCCTCGCTGCTCTCTAGACAGCAAGAGAACCTTTTCACATCCATATTTCTGTGGAGGTAGAATTAATTGTGGTGAAATTGTGGGCTAGCAGAGAAAGCCTCAAATACCAAGTATTCCTTCACCTAATAAAGGATGAAAACAGCTTCTATGGAGGTAAAAAATGTAATAAATATGACAGCAGAGGAGGGCAATCAGTGGTCCCTTCCAAGGGAGTTTATTTTCTTCTTCTCCAGCAAAGATCAATGATAGACAAGTGCAGATCCAAGTATTAACTTTAAGGCCTGTTAGGTAAGTGTCTGTATCCACTTTTGTGCGTGTGGTACTGTATACTGCTGAGTGTGATTCAGGTGTTAAGGAGTTGTCAGCTGAACTGAATTGCACCAGTATTCTTGTTTCTCTGCAGATACCTTGTTAGACTTGTCCTACACTAATTATAGCAGCCCTTGGGTTTGTGACAGGTTTTCAGAAGCTTTTCACTATTTTGAATTCATAACTGGTTTAATTGTTTATTTACTTTTCATGTTCTTGTAATATATAGCACTGTTAAACATTTTAAAATCTCTGTATATCATGAAAGATTTAATCTTTTCTTTGATGACTTTCTTACAAAGCCAGCTACTTGAAAATAATACAAATGCTAACTTTCCTTCTGTTATCAGGTGAATAAATCTCATTTTCTGTAGTCCATTTCATGTCAGCATCTTCCTGGTGAGAACCCATCAACCAACTATTCAGCTTGTTATTTCTTAAGAAAAATATTTTTATTCTGAAAAAAACATTTTCATTGCTAAAACTTTCAAAACTTTCAAAACTTGTAAGTGGTAGGGGTTTTTTCCCCCCTTGTGTTTTTTTTTCTTTTTTAAACAATAGAGAGAAGACTAAAGAGTTATATGCTGTATCAACATGGCAGACTAGAACTGCCGATTCTCACGGTTCAGGCAAACACAAGAGATGACTCCCCTCTCCTGAAGCCCTCTATGTAGTTCCTTGGTGGATATCTCTTCAGACTTTCAGATTTCCTGTCTTACCCTTCTGCCCCCCTCCCCACACGGGAATAAGCTGCTGTCAGAACAGTAGTCAAGAATGATATTTAAGGTTGTTTTCTGCCGCATCAGTACTGGCTTAACGTCACTACTTTGTTTTGTTCAGCTGTGTTTTAGGTACAATAAAAGTCTAATGTGAATAGGAAAATGGAAAAAAATAAAATTGTTCCTACTAGGAAATAATTTGCATTCTAAACACCCTTTTTTTTCTGTTCATTAGTTGTTTCTCACAGGATAGTCAAAACTGTTCTTTTTAGATTATTCTTGAATTGTAAGCTAGATTCAGAGTTGGCAATATTATAGTTCTGATCTCGTGCCTTTTTTAAAATAGATTTACACTGTCGTATAGAAGACCATCTTTACAGTGGATGGTCAGTGGGACAGCATAAACTCAAAACTTGAACTTCTATTTTGATGTGATAATCTGTTTTGAAACAGTAAGGTTTTACCAAAACCTAACGCAAATTTCGACCTTCTCTTTAACACCTGTTGAAAAAGATCAGTGTTTTTGCTGTGCATACAACTAAGGCTACTCAATGTTGTGGCGATGAATGAGGACCTAAAAGTAACTAACTAGAGAACAAACGCAAAGAAGTGAAAACTTGTCTTCATTGGTAATTGGAGATGCATAGAAATGGATAGTGTTTTTTTAAAAAAAACCCCACAAACCAAAAGCTTTCCTTTGTAAGGGTCAAAGACAATAATAATATAAGTATGATACTTTATTTTTTTCATTTAGAGAAATATTCAACACAAGCTTTCTTCTCTCAATTCTCTTATCTTTTTATATATTGATAATTAAAATGTGATATAATGCTTTATTTATGTCTTCTTCTTAGTCATGTTTAAAAGTTGTTTTAATCTTACTGTTTTCCTATCTCACACCATTGTCAGAAGTTTAATATGTGAAATAGCTGGTTTCCATTTACAAGGACTAAATAACACATGGAGAATAAGTAATATAAATGCTGTTCCACTTTTTTAGTAGATAATAGCAGTCTTCAGGTGAACACTGTAATATTGGCAACTGCACCACCTGGATAGTCCTCTGCTTTGCTTACTGACATCAACATCATTTACTTCTGATGCATAGAGACTGGGGAATTCCTGTGTGACATGAATGCCTTGCCTTAGAAACACTCTATTTTCTGTTATCAGTGGGGTGTAGCAAGTTAACTTTTCACATCTTGAGACCGAAAGTCAGTGTGTGTATCTCAAATTGTAGCTTTGGAAAAGCTACAATAATTGAAGCTTAATGAGTAACACAGGTAATCTATTGTTGATCTTCACAAGAGTGTTTGTATTTAGTGGATGTACTAAAGCTTGCATCCTTTGCTTTTTATTATACCAAAAGAATTCATTCCCAGTGGGCTCAGTAAGATATCTGGAAAATGTATTTTCACTAGCAATCAGTACATTACCATAATACAAATTTTCACTAGTCCGAAGGGTAATGTAATCCTAAAATATTTGGGTTTGCAAAGTACCACTGTCCTGCCAGGTAATAAATTTCGGCAACAAAAATCACAAGCCTTAATTCATTATCATGTTGTTGTATTACCGTAACATAGACTGAGAGATCAGTTTTACGAAGTGTTGAGCACTGTTCACTTCCATGTGAAAAGTATTCACTTTTTACTTCCACTGTTCATCTGCAGTGAAAAATGGCTATTTTCCACACATCTTTAGAGTTATAGTACAGAAGTATCTGTATTTTAGTACTGCTTGTATAATACCTTATTTGGGAATGGTGCTTTACTAAATATAAAATTGTTTTCAGGAAAAGTTTTAAAATTAGAAGTCGCATATTTAAAGTGGTATCTAAAATGCTCCTGTATTTATGAATGCACGTTCCTGGCCATACTAAATGATGGTGTCCTGTTAATTAAAATACAGATTTTGATAATGGATGTTAATTTGCAAAAGGCTGTTCCCCACTGTGAAAGAAGAGATGGCTGAAAATCAGGAAAAGGTTTAGTGTTGAGAAGAGCTTGCTGAAAGCAGAAGGTGAAATTTAGTTTTTCTTTCATACGTTTCCTGTCTTTAAGAAGAGATGCTGAATCTAATAGGGTGGCAGGTACAGATATATTTGGATAGTCTGAAGTTGCAAGAGGCAAGCCAAAGACTGGGAAATTTAGGGCGGGGTTTGAAAGAGGTGATTGACATTGTCTGATACACATAGATGGGTGGCTGTAGATGAATGTAATGGAAAAAAAAGACAGGAACTGAGAATCGGATGATGAGGAAAGGAGTGGAAGACTGCAAAGGGATGGCTAGGAAAGTGAGAGTGGGTATAAACTTCGGTTGCGCAGTTGTGGGGCCTTGATCACAGGGGTGTGAGGAGTTAGCGTTAGAAGAGTAAACATTTTGGAATCCAGAGAAGGGATTTCTGCTGGTCATGAGCAGGTTTCAGGGGCAGGATGATAGTTTAAAATACTGTGTTTTAAGATGGCTAGACAACAAAGGAAATAGAGTGGAAGAGGGGAAATAGTAGTAGTTTGTGAGGCAGGTGCCAGCAAAGCACAATCTAGATGTTTTTTCATAGAGAAGCAAGGAGGCTGAGAGATTTTAATACATACAGAAAGGAGGAGAAGAAATGAGGATTTGAATGCCATTTGTATACAGGGTCAAAAGCAGGATGTTAGCAAATACTATTATACCTTACTATGTATGCTAATTAAAGCAAGTTTTCTCCAAATTGGGTAATGCCTGAGTTGCAGTTCTGTAGCGATTTCCTTATGCCGGAGAGTTCATTTGGCATTCTCTTTTTATGGCTGGGGAAATTAAAGTATGAAAATAAGTAACTTGTTTAAGGTCGCAAGTATATAATAACTTGTATTAGAACTCTGCTTCATCTCAGGTCAAAGCATTCATTCCCTGTGCCACTGCTTTGGAAGGCAAGTTGGATGGCGAAGATATGTTTCCTTCCTTTTGAAAATCAGGCTGCCAGTGCTTAAGGGAATACTGACATTTACTGAGAGTGACCCAAAGTCTTGAAATAAATTTGTATTTAGAGGACACTTACTACACTCCTTCAGAAATTACTCGTGTGGAAGTTTTTCTGATTTTTTTTTTTTCCCCCCACCCGCCCTAGAAAAAGTGGTTTTTTTTCAAGCCAGTCTGAAAGGCTGCAATATGTATGTTTATGCTTTGACTCCTAAGTTCTGTTTTATTGTAGATGTTGCATATGGCTGTGTGAAGTTGGGCATTA